ACACCATTCTAATTAAAGGTATATATTTATATATTTTAATCACACCTTCTAATTAAAGTTGATTAATACTATACTAACTACTTTAATCTACACTTTTTAAATAAGTTATTATATTTAGCATATTTTTAACCAACACATTCTAATTAATAGTGGGAAATTAATCTTATAATATTTTTAATCACACCTTCTTAATCTAAAAGTTTGATCTAATAACACTACTACTTTTTAATCACACTTTTTAAAAGGCTTATTATATAATATTTTTAACTACACATTCTAATTAAAGTTGATATACTTTATTATATTTTTAATACACCTTCTAAAAAGTGTATATATATTACACTACTACCTTCTTAATCACACTTTTAAATAGTGATGATTAATAAGATATTTAAAAACCACACATTTAATAAAGGGATATTATATATATTTTTAATCACACCATTTCAATTAAAAGTGTATTTATATAATACACTACTACTTATTAATCACACTTTTAAATAAGTTTGTGATCTAGTTAATATAGTTTTAATCACACATCTTTAATTTAAAGGTTATAATTACATTACTACTTTCTTATCACACTCATCCATGAAATAGATTAATTGTATAAAATATTTCCCAATCTTGCATGTTATATTAAACAGATTACAATTCTCAAATCCGCGCCTCTATTTCACCCAATGAATAATAGAGGAACTCACTACTTAGGAAAATGAGGCTTAGACAACGAAACTTTGCACCCATTTCTTCATCTTCTATCTCTCTTCTCTGTCCTCTTCTCTCTCTCTCTCTCTCTCACTCTCACTCATCACTCTTCCTGTCGTCTCTCTCTCTTCCTTGTCTACTCTCTCATTTCCTGCTCTCTTCCGTTATCTCTCTCGGCTCAATCTCTCGTTCGTCTCTCTCATCTTATCTCTACGCCCTATTTTTTCTCTCACCTCTCTCTTTTCTAATCTTATTCACCTATTTTTTTCATTACTTCCTTCTTATCTCTTCTCTTTCTCTCCGCATCTCATCACTCTTTCTTCTGTCTATCTGGGTCTCCTCTCTCCGTGCCTCTCTCTCTGTGTCTCTCACTCATCATCTCTTCTTCTCACATTTTCTCTCTCGTCTTCTTCTTCATCTCCTTCTCTCTTATCTCTCTCATATTTCTCTGTCTCTCTCCGCATCTCTCTTCTCCTCTCCCTTCTCCTTCATCTCTCTCTCCTAGTCCTCGTCGCTCATCTCTCTTCTTCTCATCTCTCTCTATCATCTTTCTTCTGCTTCTATCTTTATCTCTCAACGTCTCTATCTTTTTCCCTCTCTTTCTCTCTCTTCTCTCTCTTCTCTCCCATCTAGGTTCGCGGTTCTCACTCTCTCCCTACTGTCTTCTCTATTACTGACTCACTTTCGATTATCAATCCCCTAACATAATAATGGCATATACGACCACTTGTCTTCCTGCTCATCATCTCTGTCTTTGCTCCTCTCTCTGCCTCTCTTTCTCTCCTCTATCTGCTCTCACCATTTTTCTCTCTCTCAACCACCCATCTCCATTACCACCTCACCACTACTACATACGCCATCCACTACCACCATTGACTACCACTGGTCGCCACTTTCACACTCTACACTACATTGCACTACCATTGCCACCAACTACCACATACTGCCACTATCTCTCTTTCTCTCATATGGTCTCTTTTCTGTTCTGGCTCACTCTCATCCCTAATCTAATTCTCTTTCCTCTCTTTCCTCCCACTATGTTTGCGATTATTCACGTTTCCATTCCGTCTTCTCTATACTGAGCTCCTTCTCAGAACGATTCCTACCAAGAACAGTACCTTTTAGCGATCACTGTTGTTTCTCTCATATCTTCTCTTTCCCTCCTATCGTCTTCACTCATTTCTCATCTCTCAACCACCCATCTCCCGCTTTACCACCTTCACCACTACTCAACGCCATTCATCACCACCACTACTTCCATTGTCGCCACTTCACCTCTACGACTATACCATTACTACTACTATCGCACCACTCTACTACCACCACTATCACTACTGCAAACTCACTTACTATTACCTTGTTCATCCCTACCCACTCCATTTGCACTACACTACCATAACTTCACCACACTAATCTCTCCATCTCTACGCCTCGCCATCCCATACCCCATCCATCGCCATCCCATCACCATCACCACTACCATTCATCTCTTACCCACCACCTTCCACTCACTACTCCGCTCTCTCCTTCTACCACAAAAATTAATTCATAATGTAGAATAAAAAAAAATAGCGCCAGAAAAATATTTCATTGACTACAAAGAAAAATTAACTTTATTTTAGTAAAAATTATTTTCATTAAAATATATATTACCCCTACTTCACCAAATTAAAAAATAATAATATTTTTTTCCATTAAATAAAAATGAAACAAATAAATTTTCAACTTAGGTTGAATTAAAAAAAATTAATTTTTTCATAACTACAAAAAAAATAATATATTTTAACAAAAAATAAATTATTATTTTTTATTTTTTATTTTTATTTTTATTTTTATTATTTTCATTTCCACCCTTTATTTTTTTTCCATTCCCGCTCCCCCTTTTATTTTTTCCCCATTCCCGCTTCCACACCGCCCCCCTCCCCAAAAAAAAATCCCCAATCTCAAACCTAAAAAATCCCTAATCTCTTCTCCCTCCCCCCCTCTTTTCTCTCTCTCTCTCTCGATCGAGGGCGAGCGGCGGTGGATGATTGCGAGCAACAAACGAGGCTGCTGTGTGAATGGAAAGGGCTCCGGAGTGCAAGAGTAGCATCAGCGTCGCTGTCGTTGTCGGAGCAACGTCGTCATCGTCGGCCTCCTCTTCCGCCACCTCAACATCTCTTATGCCGGGCAAAAGCGTGGAAGATTGCTTATAAATTTGGAAGAAGATGAGCAACCTAAGAAGAAAATACAGCTAGGTAGTCCTGCTACCCAGTGGATATCAGTCTACAATGCCCGCCGTCCCATGAAGCAGCGGTAAGTTGGTACAAATGATCCCAAAGGAAGTCCCAAATACACAGGGAAGAGATCCCACCTGGTCAATATCAATATCAGTAAGTAACTATAACTAGACATTTCTGTTTTGTTCAATATTTTTTTTGGGTTTTGATTTACTAGTTTTTTTGAGGGTTTTGGTGGTGGGTCGATGACGATCGAAGCAAGATTGGTGGATCAGAGAAGAGACACGAATGTTGGGCATGTTGATAAGATCATTAGGAAGAAGAAATTTCATAGAAGGACCAAGAGGCCGACAGGTCTGCAGAGGCTGTTCGTGTCTTGCAAGGAGGTGTTCAGAGGCCATGGGATTGTTCCTTCTCCGAGTGATGTGCAAAAGTTGTGCCATATTTTAGGTGAGTTTGATTTTGAAATCACAATCATATATTTGGATTGGATATTTATGGATTGTTTAGTATTGTTGTTGTTATGTTTTAGATATGTATGTGTATCTTTGTGTGTTTATGTTCATTTATTACAATTTAAATTTTTGGTTTTATGGTTGATCCTGTAATTTGACATAATGGGTTGAACATTGATTGTGAAGTAGTTGTTTTGCCAAATTGCCGGTGTTTTCGCGTTGTTCTTACGGAAGTGAGATATTTCTAGGGCTTTAGAATTATCCAGGAAAAAAATTGTGAGAAAGAAAGTTGCTTCATATACAGTGTTTCCCATACAAATTAGTGCTAGAAGTGGAAACATTGGTCAAATATTATTAAATTAAAAAAAGTTAATAAATTTCCCAAAAAAATTCATTTGATTTGAAACAGGTGAACGTAATCATAAAATGATTTTGATTTTGTAGTGTTTGGATTTACTTAGAGATGGATTTACCCAAAATAGAAAGGTTTTTGAATCTATATTGTGACCATTGAAACAGCTTCCTTTTCATTTCTTTTGCAAGGAAAGCAGTTACATGTGATCATACGTTGAGATAATTTAGGCTCGTGTAATGTAATGACAGTTGTTTTAGCATTTGGGTCAAAATTGAGCATTGGCTCGGGGAATTTAAGGTGTGCATTTGCATGAAACAAACCTTTTTGTCATCCAAATGCCCCATATAATTGATCATGATCAGTTTTGCATTACCCGGAAGTTGAGAGAAAGATCTTTAATTCAGCACATCTACCATTTTTTGAACTGCTTTAAATTTTCCCTTGTTCTACAAGATGGAAACTCTATTTAAACATCATAATTCATGTCAATAGGCATCTTTTGTAAAATCTCAAGAATCTCCTATTGTAGCGGACAATGGATCACAGGCGTCCAATACCAAACAATTTGGAATGCAAGCTCTTGGTGAAGGTTAGTATCTCCTACTGTTTAAATGTTTTATTTATTATTATTATTATTATTATATATTTTTTTTTTTTTTTTGCAGCTGTGGGATTTTTATTTCATATATATAGTTTTTGATGCTGGAGATGTCTGTTCTTCTTCAGATTGCAGTTATATGAGTTGGTGGAGTTTATGGTTCATGGAGATGGAAATTGTCAGGTTAGTTTCTTACTACACTGCACCTCATGCTCTTGCGTGCCTCAAGTTCCATGTATTTGTGATGTCTTTTGCATGCCATGTGATTAGAGTTCCCTTTGTCTCTTGATGAACAGATACCGCAAAAGTCAATATCTTGAGTCGCACTAATCATTATTTTTTGGTGGGATGATGTGGTTTTGCCTTCAGTTTGCTTTGTTTCCCCCTCTAGCTTTTTTTCTCTTTATACGAGATGGCGTACTTTAGTACTATAATTTTCAATTATTTTTTTGCTTTCCTTTGTCATTTTCTTATCTTCTATCTACGTAACTCATTTTTTGATGTTTTTAATCACACTTAAAAGATGTGATGAAATCATTTTTTAATGACACTTAAAAGATGTGATTAAAAGACCCTTTTTAATCACACTCCCAAAGATCACACTTTAGTTTAGAATAGAATTTGTTATCACCATCCTAGAACTGAAGGGTTCTGTTTTGTATGGGTCTATCAATCATTAAAGAAGTTACTGAAGCATGAGGATGTTTTAGGATTCTACAAGTAAGTTTAGGATTCTACAAGTGGTGAGGAATATATAATCACTTCGAGATTTCATTTTGGATTTATTGATTCTATGTATATTTGGTTTTATGACTGTAAAATATCTGGCTTTGGATTTATTGATTCTATGTATGTATCATATCGATATGGTAATCCAAACATTTATACTAGTAACAATCAAAGTGGTTATTCTTTTTCTATTGATGCAAGAGATGAAGAGACGGCTGTTTTCACCCTCCATTACCAAGCGAACCAACCAAAAAATTGGGTTTTGGAAGGGGCAACATTAAACCATTATAGCTTAGGCACAAGCAAATTGGATCCATGTTGGTCTTCAGCCCACCTTCTGATAGCAGCCACAGAACTTTGAGTTGAGAACATGGAAGCAAGATCAAAGAGTTGAAGAAGAAATATGTTACAAGAAATGTGATCAATACAAGAAGAAATGCTCCTAATTTTAAGGTTTTCATGATCTCTCTCTAGCCAATCTCTTTATGTAGACAGTGTATTATAGTGCTTGATATGAAGCATATTTCAAGTTTTAGCTATATATAGATCTCATGGTGGAAAAAATACATTGGAGACTTCAAATATTTTAAGTTAGTGTTTCTACAAGTCAGGATAGCAGCCATAGACTATTGTGTTAAATAATAACTAAAAGCCCCATTATTAGTTTATGAGTTGCACTATAGAGTTTTACGTGTACTTGACATCACAATTTCCATAACCATTAAAACACTCGGCAGCAAAACAGAGCTAGCAGCAGCAAGGCAGAATCAACAGCAACAAGGCAAAGACACACTCCCACACAGCACCTGCGCAGCTATTCATAGCAGCTAAACTAAAGCAAACACAACACAAACCAGAATTTATAGACATTAACAGCAGGCGGACACGACACCTGGATAGATTTACACAGCAGATCACATGACACTCCAGTAGAATGTGTAGACAGACCACCAGAGTTTAGCCTAACCAGTTCCATATTTGAGGTACCAACACAAAAATAGTAAACAGCTCCATTCTACATAAAGAAATACAACAATATCTAATGCTATCAGGTTGATTTAGACATTCTCCACATATTTGTCACATGTGCTTCTATCTGCTATGGTTTAGTGATGACTTGTTATAAATAAAGTCACTATTATGTAGCTGTATTTGTGCAGCATGTCGTTAGAACTAATGGAGAAATACCTTCTGTTGATGAAGCAACTTTAGACCATCAAAGATTATTGGACAGGTATTCAGCTATTGTTTTAGGACTGGACAAAAGCTCCCCTTCCCCTCGTCCAGCGAAGAAAAGATATATGCATCTTTGTCTCTTTTGCCTTCCTTTATTTATTTATTTACTTATTTTTATTATTATTATTATTATTATATATTTTTATTTTTTTTTTGCAGCTGTGGGATTTTTATTTCATATATATAGTTTTTGATGCTGGAGATGTCTGTTCTTCTTCAGATTGCAATTATTTGAGTTGGTGGAGTTTATGGTTCATGGAGATGGAAATTGTCAGGTTAGTTTCTTACTACACTGCACCTCATGCTCTTGCGTGCCTCAAGTTCCATGTATTTGTGATGTCTTTTGCATGCCATGTGATTAGAGTTCCCTTTGTCTCTTGATGAACAGATACCACAAAAGTCAATATCTTGAGTCGCACTAATCATTATTTTTTGGTGGGATGATGTGGTTTTGCCTTCAGTTTGCTTTGTTTCCCCCTCTAGCTTTTTTTCTCTTTATACGAGATGGCGTACTTTAGTACTATAATTTTCAATTATTTTTTTGCTTTCCTTTGTCATTTTCTTATCTTCTATCTACGTAACTCATTTTTTGATGTTTTTAATCACACTTAAAAGATGTGATGAAATCATTTTTTAATGACACTTAAAAGATGTGATTAAAAGACCCTTTTTAATCACACTCCCAAAGATCACACTTTAGTTTAGAATAGAATTTGTTATCACCATCCCAAAAATAAGAAATGGCTTTAATTTTGTGAATAGCTTGTAAGCTATATAGCCTTGACTGGCTTTAATTAATTTTGTGAATGAATTTGAGCAGGGTTTTTAATAACAATGAACTCAGTGGCAAGATTCCTTCAACGCTAGGACTACTGCAGACTTTGGAAATATTGTGAGTATTTCTATCACATACCCAATTAAAATCATAATAAGATGCTAGCTGTGAATACCCATTAAATTTTTTGAATTAAGTATACAATGTTGGCAATGGATTTTCCTGGATATGGACTCATTGGTGGCCCTATCCTAATTTCAATCTCATTGTTTTTCGTTCTTGTAGTGACATGCCTGTTAACAAAGCACGTACTTTTATGTACCATTGAGTGTAGTTAATCCTAATATGATCTATGTTTGTGCATTTATATCATTGATCTTTAGACCTTATTCAAGTACCCAATAAAATAAGAAAGTCTAAATACATAGAGAATCAAACACATAATAAACACAAAATATCTCACAAATTTACAAATGTCTCACAAAAGCAGAAAGTCTATGTTTAGTTTTCTACATTTCTAACATTGCTCTAATTAAATTACTGCACTGGACTTTGGCAAAACAGTTGACATCACATGAAGAATGTGTTCCTATAATTCTTTTTCTCTTACATGAGCATTCACTTAGAATCTTTATCTTCTAGTGACTTTTTTTCAATTTGAAGTTTCCTATAATTCATGTTCCTATGATTCTTATAATCTTTTCCTATAATTCTTTTTCTCTTGCATGAGCATTCATTTTTCAGTTTGAAGTTTCTTTTCCCATTGTGCTAGCAAGTTCAGTCATGTTTACTCTTAAGGGAAAGGATAATGGTCTAAGTAATACCGTGGATCCCCTATTTATTTTCATAATGGGATGTTGGAGAGATTTATATATATTATGAAATTACAGTACTATGTTTAGTAAGAGTTGGGATGGAGGAAAGTTAATCCGACGAGTACTCGTGCGAAATTAATTATGCCAAGGCCCTGAGAAATTTAACCCATGGTTTTGAGGGAGTATTAATCTGTCCGCACAACTAATCCCCTTATTGGTGAATCAAATGTGAGACATTACAAAATTAGGAGACAAATCCTAAACATATGGGGTCTTATGTTTTTTAGTTTAATACCCTAATCCTGACACAATCATGTCGAAAAGGGTAGAATATGTATATGTTTATCTTTCATCTTCAATGTTGATATGTACAAGATGTTTTGAAGCTTTAAGTTTTCAGGAAAAGAAGAGGTTGTGAAAGCAAATAAAGCACAAACACTTGTGTAAAAAGAGATTGGTAGCATGCTTGTTTAAATTTCAAGGCACTTATGGTACGTACAATATGATATTTTTAAATTTCACCCATTGGTTTTTGTTTTGTGTTTTTCTATATGTTTTGCATATTTGAGTAGAAGTAGTGAAGTGCTGGCTTGTGAGGTCCATTTATTGACTATAAAATAGATGGCCTGTCTTTCTGCATATGGCATCATACTGGGTGCATCATCAAAAAATAAAGTTTCATCTATAATTACATAACAAATAATTTCATCTAACAAATCCTTCATGTATATATGCTTTTATGTGGGAATTAATTTTGATCATAATAATTAAAACTTAACTCACATGAAGATGGCTACTATAAGATTAGATCAAGCTTGAATTAATTTTGCAATGACCTACTCAAGCTTCTCAGTAGACTTGCCCTACTTGATACTTCATGCAATACTTTCAAAATTGTGATGATGGCTAAAGGTAATGGTTGGCCATGGCAAGTTATTATCTTACTTCGATGATGATTTCTAGATGGTGTAGCTCTAGTAGATTTTTGGTCCCATATGTTAAAAATTACTGAGTTTTTTTTTTTTTTTTTTAAATTTAAAATTCACATGCTTAAGTTGTTGTACTTTGGGAAGGATTGTTGTTTGGTAAAAGTAAAACTTTTTAGGTTTTTAGCTTGTTTGTTTTTTCACCTTCAAAATAGGCTGAAAAGCTAAACTTAACTTTTATGATGCTGTGTTTTTAAATGCTACTTTTAAGCTTAAAAAAATATGTTGCCTAGTGTCAGGTAAAAATATTCAAGTTTGAATTACAAAAAATTAGGATTTCCTTCATCCCTATCAGTCACTTATTTAAAAGCCATACGTTTTGTTTTTGGTATTTTAGGCTAAAAAAGCCCCAAAAGCTGGCCTTTATAGTCTAAAAAGCTAAGGAAGCAGCCCCTTAAGCTGGTAACAAAATGTCATTCAACTTTTACGTGTTGATCTCTATCTACTCAATCTTGAAATCAAGTTCAAGTTCGACCAATTTATGCACAAGAATCAAGCTCAAAAGGGCCCCTAATGGGCTTATATGAATTTTTTCACATGCAACAAAGCTTGATCTACAGCCCTAGCCCCAACCAAGCCAAGAATTGACCGGCTCTCCCTAAGTGAAAATGTTGTCTCTATTGATTGAATTTCTAATGATTTAACAATAGCTGAAGTATTATATAGATATAAAGGTATGTGCTTGGTTGTTGTGGAATATCATTAGTAGCATGTGAAGATAAACATTTAGTGTTCTTGACATTGGGCCTTGGAACTATTTTGCAATGAGTGCAAGACAGGTGTTTACTCACCTACCTTCTATAGAAATACCCCCTCTCCTCATTCTTTAGGGCTTATCGTGCACTTCGTCTTGGGCTATCAAACTAAGCTTATGTGGATTAAATACTCTAAAGTAGTGAAGCAAACTGGGTTGTTTGAGGTTGACCACCAATTTTATATTTGGACTTTGGCATGCATTTCAGGTATGGATTTGAATCAAGATGTCCCATAATTTGAGGCAATGTTTGGTAAAGACATTCATATTTTCTCTTATTTATATTCTAAGGTAGAACAAAGTTTCTACATAAGCAGGAAGTCTAACACAGCAGTTCATTGATATGGTTGTAACATAGAAATAGAGAAGAAATACTTCAGCATGCTTGGCAATTATTGTCACTCAAGCATCAAACCTGAATAAGTGTGGGCTATTGTTCTGTATGGTTGAAAATCCTTCCTTGCCACAGGATTAGTTATTGATTGAGTTGCTTCTAGGACAATAATGCATTTGGTAATGAAAGTTGCTTGTATCTCTGTCAAGGGAAAACCAGCTCAAAAAAAAATGTAATTCATCCAGCGAGAGAGATTACATCTTTGCATGGGGGATCAAGCAAGTTTGATCCTGTGAGACATTTAATTGTCGAGCTTTGCCTTCTGATGAGAAGTGCAAGAATCAATTTTGATTTTCGAGCGCCGGATGAGAAATATAATTCTCTCAAGTATATTTTGTTATGACAAGATGGATCAATTTCAGTTGCCATGTTTGGTTTCTGCTGTGTGGCACTATATTGGATCTGGAATTGTGGCTCATCCAATTTATTCTATAGACATAAGAATGCTATTGTTTTATTTACAATTTGATAATGGTAGTCATTTTAATTTGCTAATGTGACCTTTGCTTTTCATGGACATTTTTCATTATTTGTCCAATTTTAACTGACATTATTTCTCTTTTTCTTTGGTACAGATGGATGAACTCGTGCACAAAGCTAAATTGTACAGGACAAATTGGCACTTTTTGTATTTTTGGAAGGATTATATATTTTTGTATAGATGTATATGGAAAATATTAGGGTAGACTAGTAGTTATATTTTTGGATGGGTGTGTATAGAAAATATTTGGTAGACTACTAGTTATATTTTTGGGTTGATGTACATGGATAAAAATTTAAAACATAATAACAAGTACTTGTTATGTGTTTAATTTTTATGCTAGATGAAATATGTAGTTTCGAATTATTTGCGGATGTAAATTTATAGTAGTTGCTGATTTTAATTAAACAGGTTCAGAAATTGTTGATATATGTATTTTGTTGAATGTTGATGATTCAATTTATTTGTTGGTTTGAATGATTTCTTATTTTTACAGATTATATTGAATAAATTGAATGGATTATTATAAATTACAGGTTTATTTTGTTGGATATTGGCGACCAAAATTTGGTTTGGTTTTTATAGTTTTGGCGACCAATTGATTAGTCGCGAAATGTCACAATTGGCAACCAAATTTCGGCAAAATGAGTTTGCACGACCAAGAGCTAATTTTGGCTCGGCAATGATGGGTATTTTTTGCGACCAAACTCTTGGTCGGCAATTGTCATCTTTTTGCGAGAAAAAATTCATTTAATTTGCGCGACTAATAATATGGTCGCTCAACAGGCAGGAAACAATACAGCTTGATAATTCCTAAATTTATTCAAATCCATTAATTAACCTAGTAATGTTTTAAAGCATCACTCAAATTAACTGAATCATTAAATTCGTTCACACAATACATAATATTAACATTCGATTTTTTAATTCTGTCATAACAACAGACTGTTCCAATTCAAAACTCTGAAACC